GGGGGGGGGGGGGGGGGGGGGGGGGGGGGGGGCTGTCCTGATACCCCGAGGATCAAATATGGCCGATCCACTTGAATACTTCACCACGGGGAATCTATTCAGAGTCTATTAGCTGGTTAAACGGCAAGCTTTCGGACTAATTAGTTCACTGTTCTGAAAAAAAAAAAAGACGTAATGGCATTTTCATTTTAACTGAATGGTAGACAGAGACGTGACAACGTAGTGTGTGAATATGCAATCAGTATACACTGTATTACCTAACTTGGCTTGACATGGGTAATCGGTGAGTTGATGTGTGTTGTAAAATTGCAGTCTCCACTGTCATACTACCACTGTAACGATGTCATTATTTCTGTTCCTGGCACAATGTTTAAGAGAAGGGAGGGGTAAGGGAATTACCTGTACAGCGGCATGCGTTGCTGAAATATTGCTGACTGGTATACAGTTTATTTAAAATGAGCTATGTTTGCTTCTTATAGGAGCAATATTACTTCATCCATGATGTGATGTTGGAAGAACTGCATTGTGGTTTAACTTCCATGTCAGTGCAAGACTTGGCCACTCGTCTGCGGAAACTGAGACGAAGAAACAAATCTGGACTGACCAAAATGGAAGAAGAGTTTGTGGTAGGCCGTGAACAAAACGTTTCTTTTTATTGCATCATTTAGTTAGATTTGAATTAGAGGAAAATCAAGAGTATATTTTTGAAAACTCAGCTACATGCGAAAAGCACCCAAGTGTTTTTTCCATAATATAAGTGTGTATATTTCATTTTTTTCCGTTGACCAGGCACTGGGCCTCATGCGACCTGAAATAGAAGAAAGTTCCACAAAGACTGCCCTGGAGCCCATCAACATTGGCAAAAATAGAGTGACTAATATTGTAGCAGGTAAGTTTTAAACCACTTCAAGACTATCTCACCGTAAGTACGAGCGTAACTTCTCTTTATCATCAGGGTCCAGTTTTATAAAGGACGTTTAGCACTAACCAGTGTATAAGTCTAACCAGTGGATAAATTCTCCTAACACCCATTTACTAAAAGATGGTTAAATTGTGTTTCATAAACAGTGTTCATACATGTACAGCCGGTTAGTTAACTGGCCTTTAAATATTTTATCCAATTAAACATTGGCCAGTTAACTAATCGGCTGTATGAACACTGTTTACGAAAGACTTAACCACTGGTTATAGTGCTAAATGTCCTTTATGAAACTGGGCCCAGGTTTTTTTGTTCCATTATGCGTATTATTAGTTGAAGCTATTAATCTGGAACTGTTTTCGTCTTTACGAGTATACGTCTGTGGTCTTTTTTCAGGGTCATTGGATAATTCTTGCATTTTGAGGTGTGCTTTTCTAGTACCTTTATTTTCCTCAAAGTAATCTATAAAATTATATTTGTCAAGATTTGAATGTTAAACAACGCAAAAAATGCTGTTATTTTTATGGCGTATTTTAAAGCTTTTGTTATAAGTCATATGATTTATTTTGTCTGTTTCAATATTAAGGCAACCACTGCAGACCACGCCTTACATCATACGCGGAGGACAGCACTGATTACATTAATGCAGTGTTCATAGATGTACGGTTTAAGTACTTCACTCCCAAACAATTAGTTCGACACTGTGATAAGACACTGTGCATGAATCCCATTCTGTTGGCTTAAGTTACGCTATAAATTTTTATTTAAAATGATATTTATTTGTAATTCTAAATATACAAATGTTTTCTTTTGTAAAAGTAGTGTGTGCGACCGCCTAAAATACAGAAAACGAAATCTTTTAGGGTTACCAACGCCAAAATGCCTATATCGTGACGCAGATGCCTCTGCCTCATACGATCGTTGACTTCTGGAGTATGTTGTTTGATCAACAATGTGCGACTATAGTTATGCTGAATGAATCCAGCGAAGATAGAGAGGTAAAAGAATACAGATACTACCGAGAGATTCATCTTCTTGTGTTTGTGTCTAGTCAAAATGATAACTGATGTTTAAGTTTATTTTTGATTAATCCAAATACATTTTTAAATTATCCGTCTTGAATGCAAGCACTCCATAACTAAAAAAATGTATATTTTCATTGTCCCATAAAAACACTAAAGTTTTTTTTCCTCAGACTAGTGGTGTGTACTGGCCAACAGAGAAAGTGATTTCTTACGGACCTTTTAATGTTGAAGTGATATCTACGCCCCAAAGCGGGAACACTATATATATCACCGTGAGAGAGTTGAGATTGGTCAATTCTAAGGATGTGAGTACGTTTCCAGAATTATATAATTATATGATTATTCGTAACTGTATGGAGCAACCTAAGATGTAACACGTTCTGATCCAAATAAAGCCTTTTTAATTTTCCCTCTATCATATTTTGATGTATTTGGGGTATTGGAAAAGGTGTCCCAAATGGATATATATATATATATAACAAACGTTGTACATATCACTATTTCGATATACCTCATTTCCTTCAATTTTCATAGCAATCGGGCTCCCCAAGAGAAGTTCGCCAATTCCATTTTCAGGACTGGATGACATCAGAACCAGTGCCGCCATCACCGCTTGCGTTTCTTGAGCTGTTAGACGCTGTCCAGAAATGGCAACAGAAAAGGGGAAACACTTCGATAACCGTACACTGCATGTGAGTTAAACTATTTTCATAAATTTCCTACAGTTCTTACATTATGCGGCCAACGTAGTTAACGGCCTTTACCAGATTAGTGTATGTGTTATCACCCACGACCGCTGCTGGTAACATTTTATTTTACATTTCTTAAAATTGGAAGCCAATTTAATTAATCAATTTTCAGATATAATTATAACGATATGATATGTGTCTATACAAACAGTCAACCCTTACAAACAGTCAACCACATCGTAGAGACTTGTAGCTGCATCAGTGCCCATGGTTGGACTCACTTAAGTCGTTAGACGAAAGAGCTAAAGACTGGCTTGAATATGCCAATATACTCCTTTGACTTTTGATTCTTGAGTGTACATTACCTGAATGAAAACGGACGTATATATATGTGTGTGTGTGTGTGTGTGTGTGTGTGTGTGTGTCTATACGCAAACGCCATGTTCTCTGTCCTTTTTGTTAAACCCATAATTCATAAACTATATCATTATTGGATAGTTATCTATTTTCTTTGTACCCAAATTAATATTGGAACATATGGAAAGCTATATTGTTTATTGTTCTATAATAAAGGAACGGTGCCCACCAGAGCGGGTTGTTCTGTGCAGTGGCTCGCATACTGGACAAGCTGAAGGTGGAGCAGGAAGTGGATGTCTTCCACACGGTGAAGACTGTCAGACAAAACAGACCACAGCTGATTGATAGCAAGGTACATACATAAGAAGGTGCATGCGCGTCTTTACATTTTACAGGAAATTCATGTTAGGCGCGCTTTACACCGAAAATACAGAGGTGACGTTGTGTTGAAAGTGCTCTAGTTTACAATGCACAGCTTTTCTAAATAATACAGTACAATATACGTATACAGTGTACTTATCAATCATCTATTCTCTTTGAAGCTTCCGTGTTTTTCCGTGTTTTTGTAATGTCTCAACAGATATCGTCTGTGTTTTATTTTATAGGAACAATACGCATTTTGCTACGATGTGGTTGAAGAATACGTCCACAAAGAAAGAAACAGTCACAGAAATCTTTAATTCAGATGTTGATGTTTTGGATACTAAACTAACACTTGTACCAATGACTGTCCGTGTTTGTGATAACAACAGACTATTGAAGAAATGAGCATAGGCCTCTACAAAATCTTTTCACGATAGAGTCAAATGTGCACTATGCACTTCTTGTCATGATTTCAATGCCGAGTATTCTTTTCTTAATTTACCATCTTACAGATATCAAAGGGCATTTAACGCCGTTGTATTCGTAAGAAATTTGTGTGATTTTCGATCAAAAAAATAATTCTAAATCAAGGTACATGCTTTATACGTGAATGGGTCACTTCTATGCTACGTTATATTTTCCATGCTAATTGACCAGGCCAAAAAAATTTACTTTACCTATATAGCAGCTGGATTTTAATTTCCTCATTAATACTGGAGACAAGCTGGGTATTGCCCGTTTTTGTGAGTGATTTAACCTCTGCACATATATGTTGATAACAGCCAAGGATGGACATATTTTATAATTCGTTATATGAACTAGTACAGATGATCACGTCCACATGCGTAGTAATAAAAATATACACAGGTCTCTAAAATGTTTTAATACATGTAGTAGATTGTTAT